TGGTTCTCCCCTCCTCTCTTTTTATTTTTTATTTTATTTTATTTTTTTGTCTTTTTTGAGACAGGGTCTTGTTATACAGTTCGGGCTGGCCTTGAACTCACTTTGTGGCCCAGGCTGGCCTCGAACTCACAACAATCCTCCTGCCTCAGCCTCACCAGTGCTGGGATTACAGGCATGCACCACCACGCCCGGCTTCCTCCTCTCTTTTTAAAACAATTTTCTTTATTTCTATTAATACATGTTGGTAGTACATAATGATCACATTCGTCATGGGGGATTTGTACATGTGCATAACACATCTTAATTCTTTTTTTGTCCCCCTCCTGTCCCCTCCCTCTGACCTTTTCCTCCTTTCTTAACAATTCAAGCCAGGCTTCTCCCTTCACTGACTTCAATCTAATGCCTCATCTCCAGATCCCCTTAATGGTTTGCATTTGTTTACTTCTCTCTCTGGTCTCAGGAAGCGTGTGGACAGGGAATTCACTGACTGACAATGACAGAGAAAGGAGTTGAAAGAGGGTAGCGGGGAAGGAGCAGAGGAGCTGGGAGGCAAAGAACAGGAGCTTGGTCTAAGGTCCTCCTATCTGAATGACTGAATGCTTTATCTCCATGTGCTTGGACTTAGCTGCTGCATTCCTGTCCCCAATCACTCACTGTCCAGCTGCTATCCCAGTCGCTCCGATACTGCACCAAATGCTGCAAACAGCGGTCCAAGGCGTATCTGTTTTTCCAGCTCAGTTCTAGCTGGGATTCACTCAGGTTTCGAAGTGTTAGATTCTCCGGTGCCCAGGGAATCACTGGAGACATGTGTGCATGTGCGGTCATTCCCCTGGCCTAGACAAGTCCAGATCTTAAAAGTAGTTCCCCTCATCCCTCCTCCTCCCTTCTTCATCCTGATCCCCCACCACTTCCCTTCTGTGTACCACAGGAGGAAAGAACACCACTCCACTGGCTCTAATGCCCCGCAGTAGCCCCGGCCTCTGGGCCACTTCTTCCCAGATTACCCAAATTCTGTAGTTTTAGCTTCTGTTCCATCTGCCTCCGGGGTTCTCGTGGGTCCTGGAGCCGGACAACAAATGTTTCATAGAGACGGATCTCGTTTTCTTGTAGCCAACAGCCAGAAGTGAGCTCTTTTGAGAATAGATAGTGACCACACTCCTGGACTTTATAATTATCAGAGTTCTTGTACCTGGAGAAAGGTTGGAAGGAAGAGGAAGAGCGGGGCAGATTTGGGTACTGCATATGTTCACGGCCTAACCTCATCTGATCTGAACTGACTTATAACTTACATCCCACGGGAGAATGGAAGGGCGCCTGGGGGGCTGGCTATCCTCTTTCTTGGTCCCCTTGTAGTCTCTCTCCTCCACCCGCTCTTCTTCCTCCCCTGCACATCCCCTCTTCCCTTCTCATACCCATATCGCAGAGTCAGGTTGGTAGGCTGGGGCTCAGAGCTGCTATTCCAAGTGCAATTCATGTACTCGCCATTGAACACAAAGCACTGAACCTCTGGGAGGGGCAGGGTGGAAATGTTGAGAGACCCAGGGGTCTCCGAGGTCGAGAAGGAAACTAGGTTGAGGAGAAAACAAAGTGGGAGAGGAAAAGAGAAGAAATAGTGTGAGGCAGGGAACCTTTCCCCTGGCCCTCCCCACTCTACTCTTCAGTTCTCCCTGCATTGTTGCGAAGGCCACTGGCAGGGTCCACATGCCTGTGTGGTCCCTTCCCATAGCCTCCTCCCCACCCCCCTTCAGTCCCAGATTCCCCACCAGCTGTGCTGTCTTCATTCCCACTGGGCTTGAGGACCGTTGAGTTCAGCCCCACCCCCAGCAGAGGTAGCTGCAGGAGAAAGAAGGATCTCAGGGGCAATGACAGCTTCAACATGGCGCTTGGTCTTTGTTCCCTGGGTGTAGTCTGTGTCGGGAACCTGGGCCCCTCACCCTCTAGCCCTCCCCACCCACACATTTCCTTCTGTCATAGCTTCCGGTGGAAAGAACCTTACAAACCAGGGTTTTATAGAGGGTGTGGCAAATGTGTTCAGTGACACAAGCTAAGTCCTCTGGGAGGTTAGGTGCTACGGTGAGGTAGAGTTAAGTTAAGACTAAGGAGAGTATATAACACTGCCACAGACTCAAGAATCCTCAGAGCACCTAGATCGTAGGTGAGACCTGCTGACCTCCACTACTGCCACTCCCAACCACCTTCTCTAAGTCATTATTCTTTTAAATTTTTACTTATCTTTTTATTGGTTTTTTGAGACAGAGTCTCACTATGTAGTTCAGGCTGGACTTAAACTCACTATGTGGCCCAGGTGGCCTCGAACTTGCAACGATCCTCCTGCCTCAACCTTCCTAGCGCTGGGATTATAGGTGTGGGCACCAAGCCTAGCTGTCTAAATCACTGTCTTTTATAGAGGAGGTTCTGACACCACCCCTCTCCTGAACTATAATCCTTTCTTGACTCATTCACCCTTGAATCTCTGTCAAAACTACATAGTCCTGGGAAGATGGAAAATACTGTCGTGGCTCCTATGGGCACATACACAGCTGTCTTCCCATAACCTAATCTGAACCAGGATACCCACTGGTAGCTTGAACTGGGTCCCTGTAGAGATGGGTTAGCAGATCTGATTTAGAAATGGAAAAACAGAAGCCGGGTGTGGTGGTACATGCCTGTAATCCCAGCACTTGGGAGGCTGAGGCAGGAGGATCAAGGCAAATTCGAGGCCAGCCTGGGCTACATGGTGAGCTCAAGGCCAGCCTGAACTGCATAGCAAGACCCTGACTCAAAAAAAAAAAAAAAAAAAAGGAAAGAAATGGAGAAACAATAATACTACTTTCAAACTCCAAATCTTCCCCCAAATCTGCCTTTCTTCCTGTTTTCCCTCTCAGTTAATAGTATCATCGCCCTCTGAGTCACCCAGACTTGAAACCTCAGTGTCCTCTTCAATACCCTCAATCCAATCCAGCCTGCTTCTGTGGTGCTGCTCCCAGCAGTTTCCTCCCTTCCATTCCTACAGCTGCAGTGCTAAATCAGCCTTTGGTTACCTCTAGTTGTGATTATTACTGGAACCCACTAACCAGTCTTCTTTCTGGATGTCTTTTGCTCTCTAATCTAATCTCCACTCTGTGGCCAGACTTACTTTCTCCCAAACACAAAGCTGATTGGAGAAGCTGTTTACAGAAATTGTTTATTTTCCTCCCAATATTTTGAGATGTTTTATTTTGCTTGGTTTTTGAGACAAGGTCTCCCTAACTTGCTGGGACTGGCCTTAAACTCATGATCCTCCTGCTTCAGCCTCCTAAGTGCTGGAATTATAGGCATGTATCACCATACCTAGCTACAGAAATTATTTATACAAAAAAAAATTTATTGAGTCTTTAATAATGTGGCAGGCATAGTGCTTATATTTTGAGAATATATAGACAAATAAGATACCCTTATTATCCCAGAAGCTCACAGATAAGTGGGGAAGACATAAACAAATAATACAATATAGTGTAAATTCTATGGCATAGATGTGAAGACAGTCCAAAGTATGAGAACACAGAAGGGGAAGTAACTAAATTTACCAAGATGGAGAGGGGAGTAGTTCAGGGAAGCTTTGCTGAGAAGCTGCATTTTTTTAGCAGAATTTTAAAGAATAAGCCAGGTGTGGTGGTGCACACCTGTAATCCCAGCACTCAGGAGGCTGAGGCAGGAGGATCACCACAAGTTCGAGGCAGCCTGAGCTACATTGTGAGTTCAAGACCAGCCTGAACTACAGAACAATACCCTGTCTCAGAAAACTAAAAAAAAAAAAGTGCAATTTTACAAGACCAATAAGGGGATAGGACATCAGGCAGAGAAAAAGCATGTGAATAGGATTTCGGGAAACTGGATTATACGGTCTAGAATGTGCTAGTTTGCTAGGGCTGCCATAACAAATTACTCCAAACTTTAAAACAACAGAAATTTATTTTCTCACAGTTCTGGAGGCCAGAAGCCTGATATCAAGGTGATGTATATAAATCTCCATCCTCCAGGCCTGGCATGTGCTAGGCAAGAGCTCTACATCCCCAGCCCCAATCAAATTGTTTTGAGAGTTTGTTTCATGCCCCTGTCTCCCAGCTTCTGGTAGCTGCTGGCAGCCCTTGGCATTGTTTGGTTTGTAGACCCATCACTTCAGCTTCTGCCTCTATCTTCATACCATCTCTTCTCTGTGCCTCCTATATCTCTTGTATTTTTTTTTTTTTTTAGTGCTAGGGATCAAATTCAGGCCTCATACATGTGAGGCAAGGGCTCACCACAAACCTGCATTGCCAGCCCTTTTTTATTTATTTATTTATTTTAAATCTTAAGACAGGGCCTCACTAAATTGCTCAGGCTGTCCTTGAACTTTAGATCCTCCTACCTCAGCCTCCCAGGTAGCTGGGATTATAGACATATGTTACCACACCTGGTGGATTCTTACCTTAATTATGGCTGCTAAGACTCTTTTGCCAAAGAAAGTCACATTCACAGGTTCTGAGTAGATTTACCTTTTTGGAGGCCACCATTCAATCTACGACAGAGAGGCCATTATCCAGCTTTAACATCTTCAAAAGCTAGTCATGGCTTGGCTGGGGATTTAGCTCAGTGGCACAGCGTCTGCCTGGCAAACGCAAGGTCATGAGTTCAATTCCCAGTACCGGAAAAAAAAAACAAAACAAACAAATAAATAAATAAATAAATAAAGCTACTCGTGGCCTTCAGGATAAAGTTCAACATCCAAAGGGGCAAGGATATGGAACACCGGGAAATTATTCATTGCTGGTGAGAATGGAAGACTCTAGGTTCACCCCCAACACCCAAAACCAGCAACAAAAAAAACCCTATTTTCCGACTCTCTGGTGAGTAAGTTCATTAATAATAACCGTGCCTCAAATAAACCTCACTGGGTACACTATGGCAAAGTGTAAGGTCAAAGCGGAGTGTCATCAACTATAAAAATATACCAGTCTTGGGCAGGATGTTACCAATGTTATGCAGGAGTGGAGGGAGGAGATATATAGAAACTCTCTGTACCTTGTGCTCCATATTGCTGTGAGCCCAAATTTCCTATAAAGAAATTGTCTTTTTATTTAAAAAAAAAAAGTGCTTCATGGGCCAGGTACAGTGATGCACTCCTGTATTCCCAGGTACTCAAAAGGCTGGCACAAGAGGACTGAAAGTTCTAACCAGCCTGGGCAATCCAGCAAGACCCTGTCTTGAGATTTAAAAAAGAAAAAAGTTTAAAAAGAGTGGTGTTATGGTTGATACATTGTGTCAACTTGGGGAGTCTAGAGGTTTGGCTAAGTGACTCAACAGGAACCCAGGGAGCTTACTTTGTATACATCCTGAGCCTGTGGAAGAGGAGGGCATGGAGATTATGTGAGAGCTACATGCCCCTCAGGTGGGGGTAACCTGTTTACAAAGTAAGGCAGGGAAAGAAGCTGCTTGGCCCCATTCTGCCCTTTTGCTCTGGCTGCTTTGCTGTTCGGCTGCCATTCCCCCCCTTGCTCTTGTTGCTTTGCTATCTTCTGCCTCGGAACCAGCCAAGTATGGACTGAAACCTCCACAAACTGTAAGCTAAATAAACCTTTCCTTCCTTAATCTTGGACGTTGGGTATTTTGTCTCAGCAACAAGAGAAAAGTAACCAAGACAAGTGGGAGATGTTACTCAGTTGTAGAGAGCTCTAGGCACATCTCCAGTATCACAAAATAAAGAAAGGAAGCTCAAGGCCAGCCTGAACTGCTAGCAAGACCCTCTCTCAAAAAGATCAAAAAAAAAAAAAAAAAAAAAAAAAAAAAAAAAAAAAAAAAAAAAAAAAAGAAAAGAAAGAAAAGAAAGAAAGAGAAAGGAAGAAAAAGAAAGCTCTTCAGATTTAGCTCAAATATTTCCACTACCAATATGGTTTCCATTCCCCAATCAGAATTTTTCTTCCAATTGTGATGATTCAATTTTTTTTGTTTTTTTGTGGTTAATTTTTTTTTTTTTTTGGTCTTTTGAGACAGGGTCTTGCTACGTAGTTCAGGCTGGCCTTGAGCTCACTTTGTAGCCTAGGCTGGTCTTGAACTTCCAAGGATCCTCCTGCTTCAGCCTCCCAAGTGCTGGGATTACAGGCGTGTACCACCACGTTTGGCTCTTAAAAATTTTTTTGAGGGGCTGGGGATTTAGCTCAGCGGCAAAGCGCCTGCCTGGCAAGCGCAAGGTCGTGAGTTCGGTTCCTGGTACCGGAGAAAAACC